AACAGCTCTAATTAAGAGTCATTATATCAACTTTTAAGGATTAACTTCAAAAACTTTGTGAATTTTCGTCTGACCCGGGTCAATACCTGACCCGCCCGGGTCGGTATTTTCTGACCCGGGTAAGACCTCTAATTCTGAGTAAAGCTTCACGATCATATACAACATTGGCCATCATTCAGGTAAATTTTAAGTTCTGTAATGATATAGGTAAATTACGGAAACAAAAAAAAAAAAGGTAGTGTTTTTCGTTCAAATGCAATACTCTTAACTTCCCACCTAATGTAAGAACAATTTATATTCCTGAAAAAGCAATAAAAAAATTATAATCGTTAAATGAAGCACGAAGCTTTAAAAACAATTAATTAATTCAGTAATTTATTGCATATATCGATTTTAGTTTTTAATAAGTTAATTCCGTATAATCTTTAGGTTTTATATTTTATGATCAAAGATTTCACTGAATAAGGCAAAGATTTTCATGAAAAATATCAATTGTCTGGAGCGACAGACTCATACTTCTACGCCCTTTGATGACCGAAATTACGTTTTGATGCATTTAAAATAAACGTAATTGTTGCATTTTCCGGATGTAACGCCGCGTACCTATTTTTACACATTCGTGTAACAACAACAAAGATTACGCGTAGTGATTTAAGCCGGCTATGGCAGCCGCGGCTAAGCTGGCTTAGCCGGCTGAGCCAGCCAATGTAATATGATCGGCTGGCTAATGCTGCTAAAGATCATATGATTTAGTATATAGCAGAATCCCGAAAAGGAAAATGAATGAACATAAAATACAAGCCAAATTTTTGGAAAGTTTGCCAAAATTTTCCGGAAGTATGTTATTTGTTAGCCGCTAGCCAGCCGATTAGCCGATATTTTAGTCTGCTGACTTAGCCAGCCGACTAAAACCTTACGGCTTAAATCACTACACGGGACCGTGTCTGTACACCTACGATATTCAGGATCTGTTACAAACATTACAGTTACTTGTGATGCCCTATATATTTATTTATATTATTTTTATCTGTTCAATGATTCTCAATTTAGATCCTGTAACGGAGAATATATTTTAGTTATGCAATTTGCAGAGGATGGTACTTTAAAAGATTACCTTCAAGGAAATGAACTAAATTTAGAAACAAATGTTAAATTTAATATAGCTATCCTTAACGGGTTGAAATTTTTACACGATGCAGATATAATTCTCAGAGATTTGGTATGTTCTTGCAATTATACTTTCTGCTGAATTTTGTTATTTCAGTACTAATTTCAGAAATTTAATTTTTGCATGATACCCAACTCAACGACCGATTTTACGGAAATGTGGCTTTTTCTCGAATTATGCTGTTGTCATATAGCGAGAAAACTTATACGATGTAAAGACCATGTTTCTATAAAATCAGCCGTGGGTAGAAATGGGGCGTCCTTAAAATATACCCGAGGTATAGGGTCTTAACCTATACCCAAAAATAAATAAATTAAATTTAACTCTAACCCTAAACTAACTAAATTAAGAAAAAACGCCTATACCACGGGTACATTTTAAGGATTTTCGGTAGAGATGGGATATGCATGATGCTCATACCTGTATATAGGGATGTAAAAGTTTGGTCCGGTTCGATTCGACCCAAAAATCGGGCCTCTATTAAAGTTTGGTTTTAACAAACTTGGGGCTCGACTCGCCTTTCATGTGTATCTTGAACATTTAAACGTCTTTAGTGCTATATTTCAGTCAGGGATTGTTGAAAGTTGTGTAACGCAGATCATTCCGTTTTTTGGCAAAGATCTGCAATTCTGTAGTACA